CCTCTGCAGATCCATCTCCTCAGCCAATTTTCCGCCGTCGCCGTCACCTTTCAACCTCTGCAGATCCATCTCCTCAGCCAAATTTCCGCCGTCGCCGTCACCTTTCAACCTCTGCAGATCCATCTCCTCAGCCAAATTTCCGCCGTCGCCGTCCCCTTTCAACCTCTGCAGATCCATCTCCTCAGCCAAATTTCCGCCGTCGCCGTCACCTTTCAACCTCTGCAGATCCATCTCCTCAGCAAATTTCCGCCGTCGCCGTCACCTTTCACCCTCTGCAGATCCATCTCCTCAGCCAAATTTCCGCCGTCGCCGTCACCTTTCAACCTCTGCAGATCCATTTCCTCAGCCAAATTTCCGCCGTCGCCGTCACCTTTCAACCTCTGCAGATCCATCTCCTCAGCCAAATTTCCGCCGTCGCCGTCACCGTTCATCGTCTGCAGATCCATTTCCGCAGCCAAATGTCCGCCGTCGCCGTCACCGTTCACCGTCTGCAGATCCATTTCCTCAGCCAATTGTCCGCCGTCGCCGTACCTTTCACCGTTAAAAGTTCGTCCGCTAACACTTTAGACACGGCCACTGTTACTTTCCTTTCGCGCAGACTTGACATTTTCTCTTTTTTTCCACTATAACTTTATATGTCATGCTTTAAGACATAACCATGCTTTTATATGTCTTATGTATTATTAATTTGTATTCTTACTTTATGAATATATATCAATCTTGGAAAGTTTCTTGTTTGAAATCGGACTAACTTTTGCATTGTTGTCGCTTTATTCCGTTTTTAAATTTTTTTCTATCCCACAAAAAGTTTCCAAAACGAATTTCTAACTAACGAACTTCTATACAAAACTACGAAGACGAAAACCACGAGAAGCAAAATATCATGACTACCCCCTGCTTTTTGGTTTTTAAATTGAGATTTAACTTGTAAAACACCAGTTTCGTTTGATGATAGACAAAAAGATGATCATGTTCGTGATTGATGTGCCAATGAGAGGTTATTTGACATAGTAACGATGAGCAAAAACTAAACAAAATGTGATGTTTCAAGGAAGACCTACTTCACATTAAGCTTAAAGGCATTTGACATGCATAAGTAAACTTTGGCTATAAAAGAATGCAAATGTCGATTCAAGTTGGCGGCCATGAATTTGTCTCCTATCGATCCTATCTGTTTTGTTCTTTCTGTCATTATGTCTTTGTGTTGCTCTCATCGAGGTTGTGTGTCTTACCGGTTGTATCTTTTTACCGGTTGTATGTCTTACCGGTTGTATGTCTTACCGGGTGTATGTCTTACCGGTTGTATCTTTTTACCGGTTGTATGTCTTACCGGTTGTATGTCTTGCCGGTTGTATGTCTTACCGGTTGAATGTCTTACAGGTTGTATATCTTACCGGTTGAATGTCTTACAGGTTGTATATCTTACCGGTTGTATGTCTTACCGGTTGTATCTTTTTACCGGTTGTATGTCTTATCGGTTGTATGTCTTACCGGGTGTATGTCTTACCGGGTGTATGTCTTACCGGTTGTATGTCTTACCGTTTGTATGTCTTCCCGATTGCATGTCTTACCGGGTGTATGTCTTATCGGTTGTATGTCTTACCGGTTGTATGTCTTACCGGTTGTATGTCTTACCGTTTGTATGTCTTCCCGGTTGCATGTCTTACCGGGTGTATGTCTTACCGGTTGTATGTCCCGGTTGTATGTCTTACCGCTTTTATGTCTTACCGGTTGTATGTTTTATCGGTTGTATGTCTTACCGGTTGTATGTCTTACCGGTTGTATGTCTTACCGGTTGTATGTCTTCCCGGTTGTATGTCTTACCGGTTGTATCTTTTTACCGGTTGTATGTCTTACCGGCTGTATGTCTTACCGGTTGTATGTCTTACCGGTTGTATCTCTTACCGGCTGTATGTCTTACCGGTTGTATGTCTTACCGGTTGTATGTCTTATCGGTTGTATGTCTTACCGGTTTTATGTCTTACTGGTTGTATGTTTTACTCCTGTGATTTAAAGCAATGCATGTTTACTTTGGCAGAAACCAGGGTATTGTTTAAGGAATATTGAAGCGACTGGGGCAATTTTTAAAAGGACAAATGTTCACCTCAAGAAGTATACTTTTACTTATGCTAAAAGATCCCCGTTTGTTGCAGGGGCTAGATGGGTTGTTTCGGACATATATCATAGATAAGAAAACTTCGAGGACATTTCCTATGAGAAGTTAGTGACTTGGCATGGAAGACGGAATTCAAAGCCTTATTTGCAATTTATCATAATTAGCAAACTTTTCATGATATTGTGCTGCTTTCATACTAGTTTTCTTAGGATTCAGTCTTTAGACTTCAAGATTTGACACTAATTACTATTATAAAGTCACTTTAGAAAGTTTGAGCATATTATTTTTTATATACAAAATTGAAACCTTTTTATGAAATTTTTTAGATCAGAAACCATAACAGAATGTATATTTTAAGTTTAAAATTGCAGCAAGAATCTGGATGTTTTCGAAACTGCGGTCCGCTGGGGCGTGAGGAACTGGGCAAAATTAGCACTTATGGCCTTCCTGAACATATTTAAAAAGTCGCCACTGCCGTTAAAAGATGAATTGATTCAACTGCCATGAACATTACAATTTTGGTTTTTGGTTTTTTGCTTTAAAATTTTGCAACCAGAGTGGAAGTTGCGAAGCATAGATTTAAAACCGAAACATCTGATCAAAGATGTGCCGATTGGGGGGCGTCACGCCCCCCCCCCCCCAAGTGTCTGCAAACTTCAGAAAAGTTGTTCATGCAGCGGGAACTTTAGCATAAATTAGGAAGTTTGACCAAATTTCAACCTATAATTCATTCATTTTATTGGTCATGGTTGGTCATTGCAAATATATCTTTAGTCGGTCTGTATTTAAAGGTTAAAAAAAATTAAGAACAAGTTGAGGCTCAGCTACTGTAAAATGCAATTTGGAACAACCTTCTATCTAAAAAAACGAGGACTTTTAGCAATGTATGGCTGCTTTTACTGTGATTATTCAAACTTGTCGGCAAATAAAGGTTGTCTCACTCACATTGTTGGCAAATGAGGCTTAAATACCTCCCTAGAGCGAAAATTCTAGCAATCGCACAGCTTACATCCTATTAATTTAAGAACCAATTAAGAACCAAGTCCAGATTCTTGCTGCAATTTTAAACTTAAAATATACATTCTGTTATGGTTTCTGATCTAAAAAATTTCATAAATAGGTTTCAATTTTGTATATAAAAAATAATATGCTCAAACTTTCTAAAGTGACTTTATAATAGTAATTAGTGTCAAATCTTGAAGTCTAAAGACTGAATCCTAAGAAAACTAGTATGAAAGCAGCACAATATCATGAACATTTTGCTAAATATAATAAATTGCAAATAAGGCTTTGAATTCCGTCTTCCATGCCAAGTTACTAACTTCTCTTAGCAATCGAAGTTGTCTTATGTATGATATATGTTTGAAACACCCCATCTAGCCCCTGCGACAAACGGGGATCTTTTAGCATAAGTAAAAGTATATTTATTGAGGTGAGCATGTGTCCTTTTAAAATTGCCCCAGTCGCTTCAATATTCCTTAAACAATGCCCTGGTTTCTGCCGAAGTAAACACGCATTGCTTTAAATCACAGAAGTAAGACATGCAACCGGTAAGACATGCAACCGGTAAGACATACAACCGGTAAGACATACAACCGGTAAGACATACAACAAAACAGATAGGATCGATAGGAGACAAATTCATGGCCGCCAACTTGAATCAACATTTGCATACTTTAATAGCCAAAATTTACTTATGCATGTCAAATGCCTTTAAACTTAATGTGAAGTAGGTCTTCCTTGGAACGTCACCCTTGTTTAGTTTTTGCTCATGGTTACATTGTCAAATAACCCCTCATTGGCACATCAATCACGAACATGATCATCTTTTTGTCTATCTTCAAACGAAACTGGTGTTTTACAAGTTAAATCTCAATTTAAAAACCAAAAAGCCAGGGGGTAGTCATGATATTTTGCTTCTCGTGGTTTTCGTCTTCGTAGTTTTGTATAGAAGTTCGTTAGTTAGTAATTCGTTTTTGAAAACTTTTTTGTGGGATAGAAAAAGATTCAAAAACGGAATAAAGCGACACCAATGCAAAAGTTAGTCCGATTTTAAACAAGAAACTTTCCAAGATTAACATATATTTATAAAGCAAGCATACAAATTAATAATACATAAGACATTTAAAAGCATGTCTGTAGTTACAGAGCAAAAAAAGAGAAAATGTCAAGTGACCGTGTCCAAAATGCTAGCGGACGAACATTTAACCATTAAAGGGATGACGACGGAGGACATACATGAATGCCCGACGACGGCGGACATTGGAACGACGACGGCGGACATAGGAACGGCGGCGGCGGACATTGGAACGACGACGGAGGACATAGGAACGGCGGCGGACATTGGAACGACGGCGGACATAGAAACGACGATGCACATTTGGCTGAGGAAATGGATCTCCAGAGGTTGAACGGCGACGGGAAAGGAGCAAAATTGGATCTGCAGAGAGATTAAGAGTGATTAATCAATTTATCTTTATAAGGTATAACCTTTTATGCTGTGCATTCCAAAAGTCAACAAAGACCATAAATTTACCTCGTGTATCTATATTCAAAAGTAAAGGAGATAATTGAAGAACTTTTCAGGAAGTGAACAATAACCCAAAATGAACTTCGAAGGTACCTTTAAGGGCCGAACATTTATTGAAACTTGTTACAAAAGACTTTGGTTTGATGCAATAGTCATAAAGATGTCTTATACATGTTTTTAAGAAGGTTTTATTATAAAGTAGGGTTGAAAAGTCTCAAAAACCTTTCGCTGTCTGAGCAGTGCTTTCTAATTCATCCATCTCCTTGCTCTCATTTTGTTCAAGGTCTGCATTCTCGTCATTGGCTTCTTCGTATCTCCGAGCTTAAAGATGGAATCGGTATTATCATCAAAGAACGTAAGAAAAGCTTATTACTGTCTCTTTATTTCAAACTTACAATGAAAAAATAATGATTGAATAATAAAGGCATCCCTTGAAGCCAATCATATTTGCAATCAACCATTTTTTTCATATGATAAATAAATGGTAGTTTTTTTTATAGTTCACTAAAAGTTTACAAGATAAGTTAACTATTACGCTACTCAACAAACAATACAAGGACGTTGATACCACAGGAGAAAGTGTATACAGTTGGCGTCTCTTCAGTTAGAACAGCAAATAAACATTTTCTATCAACTAAAAAACTTTCGACTTAGGCAAGTAGATGCGAATTATTCTGGACACGAATGTGTACTGGAATATCTTTACTGAAGGCTCACCAGAGTTGCTCTATCTAAGTTTGTTGTGAAAGCAATCCCCGATGAAAGAACACGAACCGATCCAAGATACCCTAGAACTGGCTTCTTACACTAAGACTACTTTGAACTTCTAATGCATTTTGCTGAAACCGTTATTAGCTTATTGGAGCTGTAAAACTGTTAAAGAGGTAAAGTAGATTAAAAAAACTGTTGCAAAAATAATCACGGTTGGTTAAGGTGGAAAGCAAAATGAAGGTGAAGTTGAAAAAGAGACCCTTACCGTTCGTAGACGCTAAAAAGACTGCACCAAGCAGTAGCAAAAGGACGAGACACTTCATCTTTAACTCTATGGATGCAAACATAATTCAGTTGAATATGGATAAAAACATAAAGGAAATGCATTCTGGAAAATTACATTTTGCGTTGTTTCATGTTATATTATTTTTATTGAAACTCATAAATTCGGAACAGTTGATTTAAAAACTCTTTTGGAAAACAAAAACAGCATAACTTTAAAGTTTTTCAAAGGTTTAAGAAATTATTCTTGTGTAAATGGTCATGAAAAATCGCTACATTTAACGATTCAAAAAGTTAAATGTTGTTCGGTAAAGGCAATATCACATGATTGAAGAAAGGAAGAAACTTTTTCCTTGTCGTAAGGTCTCGTTGATTCTGGCTACATGCAGGTTGGAAAATACAAATTATTTCTAAGACATGTTTTCTAGAAGCCTAAATTTCACATTATGTCAATCCAATGATCATTTTAAAATAGATAAAGTTACTATAAACCTGAAATTTTGTGAATTAAATTCATTCTACGAAATTTAAAAACGCCCAAAAGGAAATAATTATAACCGAAAGAAATGAAAAAAAGGAAATAAACAAGATAACCGAATGCTTTGTCAGCACAACAACTTTTTAACAACCAGAGACTTCGTGTTTCCAAACGAATTTATATATAAGGATAAAACGCCATGTGATAATTAAACATCAAGCATAAAAATAAGCAAGATAAAAATCTTTGTTGAAAATATTATCGTTAATAAAGTTTTAGGATTAATATGAAACAAGTTAAACAGCTAGAATCTGAAGAAGAAAATACAATCATACCTTTATCTCTGCAGCAATCCAGTCTGAGAGATCTTCAAAAATGGCGACTTTTATGCCACTCTGTGTTCATTCTGCATACAACCACTTTCTTTTGAATTTTACCACGAGAGGAACGTAAAAGAGTAATGTTACATTACAGGTAAAATGTTTATTCAGAATTGACCACATCTTCTTTCTAAAAACAAAGCTCTGTAGTTGTTGTGCACTTCTTCCTGTCCAAGAAGCATTGAAATTTTGTTAACGTTTCACATTTTAAGGAATCTGATACAAAAAGTCGGACGATAAGAAATGAGATTTGGAAAGCTTCCACAAACCAAGGAAATATTAACGTATTTCGATTTATTAAATCTTTTTTCTTTCTAACCAGCGAACCAACAAAAATAAAGCTCTGCAGTTGTTGTGCATTTCTTCCTGTCCAAGAAGCATTGAAATTTTGTTAACGTTTCACATTTTAAGGAATCTGATACAAAAGATCGGACGATCAGAAATGAGATTTGGGAAGCATCCACAAACCACGCAGATATTAACGTATTTCGATTTATTAAATCTTTTTTCTTTCTAACCAGAGAAACAAAGAAAATAAAGCTCTGCAGTTGTTGTGCATTTCTTCCTGTCCAAGAAACATTTAAATTTTGTTAACGTTTCACATTTTAAGGAATCTGATACAAAACATCGGACGATAAGAAATGAGATTTGGGAAGCTTCCACCAACCACGCAGATATTAACGTATTTCGATTTATTAAATCTTTTTTCTTTCTAACCAGAGAAACAAAGAAAATAAAGCTCTGCAGTTGTTTAAATCTTTTTTCTTTCTAACCAGAGAAACAAAGAAAATAAAGCTCTGCGGTTGTTGTGCACTTCTTCCTGTCAGTATTTACAACAGGTAGGAGGCATCAACGTTTTACAATTTGAGGCATCCAGTCTTTATGAAAGACTACTTTCTCCCAAAACCCAATAACTATAATCTTCGAAGAAATGTTCCTAAGGTTAAAACTACGAGCTTTGGTATAAAATCTATTAATTCTTTTGGTCGAAAGATTTGGAATGTCTTCCAAATGAAATAAAATCATCCAAAAATACAAATCAATTCAAAGTTCTTATAAAATGTTGGTATTTCGAAAATCAATGCGCCTGTAACGCTTGCAGTCAATGACTTCCATAATGCAATCTCTTAAATTGCTTCATGTTAGTGTTTATTAGTGCTCACACTATTGTCAAACTAACAGTAAAAAGGTATTATTTTTATTATTACCATTATTATTTTTCTTTGTGACTATTTCTTTTTCTCATACATATTTGTAGTTCGATTGAACAATATATTGTGATGCTTTCAGTTATTTACTAATAGTTCAAATTGAATTTTTAATTTAAAAGGAACAATCTTTCAGTTTTAGTTTAAAAATAATGTAACTTTTTTATATTAAAATTTTTATATTTTATATTTATATTAGAGTTTCAGTTCTAGACCTAAAGTTGGCATATAATGTGCTATTTGTCTCCGCTTCCAAAAACTCTTTGGAATTTTACAGTCCCAGAACCCGGATTTACAGAAATAAATGAAGAGCTGTCTTCTACTTCACTTAAGTTACTGTAAATCCACAAATTGCCCCCCCCGTCGAAAAAGTCTCCCCTTAAATAAGCCCCTACCCTAGAACTACAAATTGTCAATAAACCCCCCCCCCTTCGAATATGCCCCTAGAACTAAATCAGGTTGATTCTATTATCTCATTTGACTCTCCATTATAGTTTGTGTTCATTTGTCTTTATTCTAAAAACTGCCAAATCAGTAGTATTTGGAGTATTTCAAACTGAAAAGTGAGGTTAATTCATCACTGCTCATTTTTGATTCATCACTGCACAAACATCACTGCACCTTAAATTAATCCATGATCCTAGTCTATCTGAACATCTGGAATGAATTTTGAAAAAAGCCGTGCGGAGAAGCCGAAAGTTTGGATGATCGAGGGTAGATTATGATCAAGAAATTCTTTCCCTAGACAGTCATGAATATCATTCTAGCCATGACCCCCCCTTCCCCCCCCAAAAAAAAAATTCCTGATCATCAAAGATATTTACAAATAGGCCCTGTTTTGAAGCACTAATTTCAAGTTACATTAATCGAACTTAGCCCTCCACTTTGAATTTCGTGGCGTGGGGCCTGGAATATCCACCCATCGAAGAAACACACGAAAAGACAGAAAAAGAAATTTGCGAGGACGAGGAAACAAGCTCTAGCCGCAACACGTGCGATGATTCTGTCAGCCCTTGCTTTTCCGTTCAGAGAAACGAAGTTGATGCCGAGCCAAAAGCATTGACCCATTCAAAGGTAGATACACAAATCAGTGATAAATGTATCCAGCGTGTGCCAGGACCAAAAGCTAAAAGAAAGCGTGTGCTGTATGCCTACCGTACCTCACCATACTGAAGCGTTCTTGCTACAGGGGTAGAGTGCCACCAATTTGTCTTCCCGAGGGCACAGAGGCAAGAACTCGCACAATTCAAGAGCATCTACAAAGTGAAGCACATAAAGAATGCCTCGAAGCCGAGCGCTTGAAGAAACTTTCATCTGTCGAGAAATCTCAACTGTGCCCTTGGTTAAGATGTTGAGTTCGCAGCGCCAGAAATTGGCCAACAAGATAGGGTCACTAATAATCCATGTGTACAATGACGCGAAATGTTTGACATCATCAGCATTTTCTTGGTCATCAAGAGTAGTTGCCTCAAAATTTTAATTCAACTACAATCAATCTTTCCAACCATACACGCCTTCTGACCGTGATCTGCAGTATATTCGACCCCCAGTTATACAAGAATTTTTGCGCACTATAGTCAGTTCTGACCTGCCAAAGTTCAAGAAAGAAATTCATTCCTGCATTGCTGCATCTCTTCGCTTTGATGCGTCCATGGATAAGACACAGAAAGATCATCAATACATGCTACTTAATGTAGTCGATGAAAATGGGAAACCAGATCTCAAGTTTATTGGCATTGGACACGTGACTGATCCTGGTGCCTCTGGGCATCTCGCAGCATTGAAATTGGGAGCAGACGATACTGTTGGCTTCGACGAAGTAATGAAAGTGATAACTCATCTTTCAACTGACGGGGAAAATAAGAATGTTGGAGAGCATCGTGGTCTCTGGAAGCTCCTGGATGACGACCGAAGGAAATTAGACATCGACACTCCCCTCCTAAAGTCTGTTTGTGCAGTGCATTCAACTGCAAATCCGTACCAAGACTTATGTAAGAGTGTCCCAGAAATTGATCACTTGGTTAAGAAAATAGCAGCAATTTCTATCTATTTTCACTTTTCAGCAAAACGAACCAGTGAGCTGGAAAAAGTTGCAAATGTGGAAGGGCTAACAGTGCGTCGTTTCCTAAAGTATTTTGAGGTCAGATGGGCAGAATTTACAGCTGCTCTTCTTGATGCTATTCTGTGCTCGTGGCAAGCACTCATAAAGTTCAACGTAGAGCAATGCGATGCTGAAGGCAAAAAGTTTCTGAAGCTTCTTATCAACAAGGACAACCTTCTTTTGATGTGTTTTGTTGCAGATCTGCTTTTCTTAATCAAAGTGTTCCAAAAGAAGCTTCAAAGCGACTCACTAACAATTGTGGACATTGAGCCAGAGGGAGGGGAGTTTTGCGAAAGGGTGAACAAGCTGAGCACTGGATCCTTGCTGGGAGGTTGGGAAAATGAATTCAAAGAAAGGTATGATGAAGAAGCCAATAAGTTTCGCGGGATCAAGCTTTGGGAGAAGGAAAGACGCTGACCAGATGTCAATCTGTTTGTAACAGATCGCAGAAAGTTTAGTGCTATTCGGAACGAATCAGTAATAGCAATCAGCACATACGTAGACAAGCGACTTCAAGTGGACAGAAATGCTTCCAAATCATTTACCCCGTTTGTTAAGATCATGGCCACAGAAGATGAAATAAAAGAATTTCACCGCTCTATTGCTCCTGACTTGGATTTGGCAAATGTAGCCCTTCAGTATCAGGATCTGCAAGATTGTGCCGAAATGCCAAAGGCCGATCCCTTCAGCATGCTGCAAAACATGCTACAAGGAGCAAGGGACGAGTATTCAGATGTCTGTGTCGTCCTTGGCCGCATTCTTGCATGCAAACCCCATTCAGCTGATTGTGAGCGGGTCGTTTCTCTTTATAACAAGATCAAATCAGCATGAAGATCATCTTTCAAGCGCCAAACCGTCAGCGATTACCTTTACATACAAATGAATATGCCACAACTATGTGACTTTGATCCTAGGCCTGCCATTGAGGTGGATGGAGGAAAAAAATCGTCGGGCAAGAGAAAGCACAAAAGCAGGAAAGCAAGAGTGGTTTAGCAAAGTTTTTGCGAACGACGATATAGAAGACGGAGAGGTTAAGGAGAAAGAGTTGAAGAGAAAGTTTTGAAGACGTTAAATTTGTTTAACATTAAACAGCATTGCGTTATTGTTCAAAAAATTATTACTGCTTGAATGCGAAGGTCGACCTCAACCTAGTATATTCGTTTGTTTGTGAAAGTCTATAGGCTATATTTGGTTTGCGTATCTATACAATGGAGGATCCAGCCAAAAATCTGGCTACCGCCGAAATGAGATAGAGGATCTACCACACCCTTTAGACCACACCCATTTCCTGGTTACACCCTGTTTTCTAAAATGATTATTATTTACTGTAATTTCTTATGTAGACCATTTTCAAGAAACAAGCCGTGCTTTAGTGAAATTTTAAGTATCCTTACAACAAGCTTGAGAAGAAATAAATAATCTTATTCAATATTTTGAGGATGGATATTCTAAAAATATTTACGGCATTTAGCGGAGGAACACCATAGAATAAGAAAAAAGATACATTCGGCAGAATTTTGAAATGTCGTCTAAAACACACATTAAGTCGCACAATTATTTATGGAAATCAGACCTGTTGGAAATTATAAGTTTAAAAAGCTAGATAAAATTTGCAATTATTGAGAGAAACTTTTGTTAAACAAAGAATAATACTTTTGGCGAACTTTGTGGGCCTGACTTTTAGTCCTGGTGCTTTCTTAATTTTAGAAATTGAGTCTTAATATTCTTATAAAATATTTTCCTGCCAATATTTATGTATTGTACAAAATAAGGGGTCACATCGGTCATACCCTAACACAGAATGGTCTTAAAATAGACCCCGCAAAGTTGAAGTCATCACAAAGATGAGCAAGCCGAAAGATGTCGCTGGTGTACAAAGGTTCATTGGCATGGTAAAATACCTGGCCAAGTTTCTTCCCAGACTATCTGAAGTATGCGAACCTCTGAGAAATTTGACCCACAAAGATGCACCATGGGTATGGGGAAAAGATCACGACAGGTCTTTTGCTGACATACAAAAAGCGATTTGCGAGGCACCAGTTCTAAAGTATATTGACCATAAGGCAGCAACAGAAGGCCAGACTGATGCATCATCAAAGGGGCTTGGTTTCGTGCTCATGCAAGAGGGACGTTCCGTGTCATATGCAAGAAAACCCCTTACCCCTGCAGAGCATAATTACAGCCAAATAGAGAAGGAGCTGCTTGCACAAGTATTTGGAGTGGAACATTACCATACCTATGTCTATGGCAGAGAGATCACACTTTGGACGGATCACAAACCACATGTCTCAATCGTCAGCAAACCACTCGCCTCTGCTCCAAAGAGACTGCAAAGGTTGCTACTAAGATTGCAATCATACGATGTTAAAATCTGCTATAAACCTGGCAAAGAAATTGTTCTAGCAGACACACTCTCTCGTGCATACCTGCCGACA